TTACCACTATGAAAATTACGATGAATACAACCATTTTCATGAATTAATGATAATCCTTCAGAAAAATTTAATAAAATATCTAGTTTTTCTGCCCATTTTAAGTCCTTATAATTTGATTTTAGATAAGTACCCAAATCACCATGAGATGCATATTTCATAGTTGAAAAAAATTTTTTTTTTAATAAGCATAATATCAAACGTAAGCCAATCAAAAGTTATTTATAGTCTAAACATCACTCAGATAAATTTCACATTTGATTAGCACGCAATACATATAACAATGACTATTTATTCTTAACGATTTACATGTATTAAAATAAATTTTTTTTTACTGAATATATATAAAAATAATTATTAGTATATTTAATATTTCGATTTTCGTCGCGTAAATTCAAGTTACCCGTGATCTATGGTTCAAATAAATCCTTTTGGGAAACCACAAGGATAAAATGTTTTAATAAAAAGAAAAAAGTAAACCAATGGAAATGAAGCTTAGATCTTTAGCTTTAATTCTATCAGTTTACTTTTTTTACTTTTCCTTTTATAATCATGTGATAATAATTGACGTTATAGATGTCCTGCCTGCACTATATAAATAGTAGAAAGAATATTCTATTAGTACTTTGAGTATAGTGGCAATCATTTAAAGGCATCACAAAATATTGCCAATCTTTAAATGCTAGTAGGATGGCGTGTGGCTACCTTGGTATTCAACCTTCAAATGTTGATGATGAAAAGGCATTTTCTCAAGCTGGTTTTACAGTCACTAATTACAAAGAATAACTTCAGTAAAAAAACGATTTCTTGCACAATACTTATGCATTCATGGTTAAAGAAAGCAAGAAAAAACTTAGCCCTTTTAACGATATGCCGAAACAAAATAGTAATACTTTAATAAATTGTATTTCTTAACCAAAATATAGGTTCTATGCCGGACACCATTGGCACCATGATTCTGATGCCAGTGCCCACCCGAGTGCCCAGCTTTTTTTTTGGGCACCGGAAACTTTGGTTGCAAACGCCAACTTTATATCATACTGGAATAATTTAAAAAGCCTAAACATCCATTACATCACCATAATTCATGGATTTTTTTTTTTTATTATTTTCTAATGCTAATCAAAATTTTTTCACTTGGAATAATTTCGTATTATTGTTACGATCTTGAATTTCCATTGGACTAATACGACAGAAATTATTTCTCGCAAATATAAAAGAATCCAAAAAATAAAGCATGTAATTATTATTTCTTATTAATTCCATAATTCAATAAATTCTAAAAAAAAATTTTTTTTTGATTTTTGTAGACTGACAATATTATATATACAAATGTTTCGCTAATAGTGGAAAAACGAGAATTAAAGAAATCGAATAATTTATTACCATCATTTCTTTACATGAGAAAAAAATGGAAATTCATTGTGATTATCATTTTTAATTTCTCTTTAAAAAAAAAAAAATAAAAAATAATGGTAATATTTAAATATAATAAATTTCCGATAATACCAAAGTTTTATCGTAAAAAATCAATAGCTATCAATGAATTAATACCGAAAAATAAAAATAAAAATTACAACCACTTTAATTATCACTATTACACAACAATAGCTTCTACTAATAATAACAATAATAATAAAATTAATGAACAACTAAAAAAAAAATTAATTGATGAAATGATAAGAGTTGATCAAGCTGGAGAAATTGGGGCGAATTGGATTTATAAAGGTCAATTGGCAATTTTAGGAAAAGACAAAAAAGTTGGACCTATAATTCAGGTTTTCTATCATCGTCATCATCATGTTGTTATTGTTCTGGTGGTGGTGGTGGTGATAGTTAAAATTACAATCAACCAACCAAGTAACAAAAAATACTAAATATTATTATACAATAAATTTAAAAATAAAGGAAATGTGGGAGCAAGAAAAAGTTCATCTTCGTACATTTGACAAAATAATTGCTCATCATAGAGTAAGGCCAACTTTATTAAGACCTTTATGGGAATTATCAGGTTATGTATTAGGAGTTGGTACAGCTTTAATGGGTAAAGAAGCTGCGATGGCCTGTACTGAAGCAGTTGAAACTGTTATCGGAGAACATTATAATGAGTAAGTTGATTTTTTTTGTTGGAGAGAAAATACAAAATATTGATATTATTTTTATTATTTTATTTAGTCAATTAAGAGAACTAATAAAGATTGAAAATGATAAAGATATTGAAGAATTAAGAAGTGTAATTATATACAAAAATAATTAATTAATCAAATTAATAAATTGATATTAATAAATTATTAAATATGTGCTATGTTTTTATATAATAAAGACTATCAAGAAATTTCGTGATGATGAATTAAATCATTTGGATATAGCGGTGGATTATGATGCTCAAAAGGTTTGTTTTTAATAAATAAAGAAAAAAACCTATTTTCAAGATGTAAAGTTTTAAACAACTTTCTTGTTTTAGGCACCCTTCCATAGTATATTATCTACAATAATACATAATGGATGTAAAGCTGCTATTTGGATAACAACAAGAATTTGAAAACTTAAATTATAAAAAGAAATTTATTATTATTATAAAAAATTAAAATTAAAATTACAGAAGATTTGACGGCTTATCCAACAAATTTAATAATAACTATAATAATAAAAGTTGCCATTATCATGATTATCTATTTTCTCCAATGTTCTCATCATCACCTTTTTCACTATGAATATTATGATCATTGCTATTAACATTCCTATAATAACTTACTCTATCAACTGCTATTAAATATTCTTTTGTATCATTATTAGTAGTATCATGATAACCTAATGGACCTAAATCACAATCTGCACAACATAAATATTTTACACCAGTTTCATTTAATGTTTTAGAAAATCCAATATTTTCAAATGAAAACATATCTGACACTTTCCAATAAGATCCTTGTGTATTATTATCATCACTAATAGAAGATGATGATATATTTTTTAAAAAAGATTTATCTGATTGTTGTTGATTTGGTGTTTTTAGCTATTAATAATAAAACAGTTGAAAGAAGAATTAGATATAAGCTTGGAACTTATATTTATTTATATTTTTTTTCTTTTAAAAAATACTTTACTAAATCATTAGAACGTTCAACCCAAGTCGCTGAATTTGTTTTTAAAATTAAACTGGCACAGTTATCAATGTTTGGACAATAAATATCATATTCATTAGTGGCGATATCATCATTTTTATTGGATTTTAAATTTTGGTTTGGGTTTGATAAATCTTTATAAAGAAATTTCGACATTTTATTATTTTTATTCTAAAAAAAATTTTATTTACAGAAATTTTATTCGTTTTATCACATAGTGACAAAATCGAATGCCAATAAGAAAAAAATAGGGCGCAAAAACCATTTTATCTAAAAATACATATGCATTGATATATTGCTTTATTTCTTGATCCATCAGGTCCATTATGTATTGAAGAGTTAGTTATATTATAGTGAAATTTAAAAAGTTTAGAGATCTACACAAGCAAATAACTTCTACTTCTTTGATAGTTTTTAAATCCATCTCGACTGATTTTCTCATTCTTTTATTGAAAATAAAAGCAATTAAAAATTATATTAAAATTACTTATAAAACTAAAAAAGTAATTATACCCATGTCCTAAATCTTCACACTGTCTCATCCAATCTTCAGGATATAAAATCTAAAATTAAGAGATTTTCAAAAAAAAAAAAACTATTAATATTAAAAATAGTATTTTTTTAAAATGATGAATAATAATTATAAATATTTCGCTAAACTCTAAAAGTTCTTAATCTTTTATTATTTTTCATATCATATAATCTACCATGAGCTCCAGGTCCAATTCCTGATCCAATAGATGGATAGATAAATTAGTCAATCAATTGACTAATTAATTATCAAGTGTATATATATATATATATATAATGAATTTTTTACCAAGATAATCCAAACCATTCCAATATCCAAAATTATGTCTACTATATTTTGAATTTTTATAAAAGTTTGAAACTTCATATTGTTTAAATCCAAATTCTTTTGCAATCTAAAACAATATATATAGAAATAAATATTGATGAAGATGATCATGACAATAAAGAAGATGAGATTACCTGAATTGTAGATTCATACATATCAGTAATCTTATCTGATGATGGTATTTTTAATTTGCCTAATTTATATTCTTTATAAATTCTTTTTTTTTTTAAAGATTTAAAATTAATTTAAGGACCAAGAAAGGAAAGTTTGGAATAGCAGCAATAATATTTACGGGGTTCCTGGTTTTATGGTAAGTTCATAGATGGAAAGATGATTATCTGCCAATTCTAAAGCTAACTAATTTATTAAAATAAATTTAGTAATAATAATAATAATATAATAATAATAATAATAATAATAATAATAATAATTAAATTAATTGGTTCTAAATATTACCTTTAATTCTTTAATCCAGTTGCTAACATTTTGATTATTTCTTCCAAATATCAAATCGAAGCTAACATTATTTTTAAATATCTTTTTTGCTATTTCTAAACTTTTAATTGCATCTTTTGAATTGTGATCTCTACCTAATTTTAATAAATCATTATCATTTAATGATTGAACACCTAATGAAAGCCTTGTTATGCCAATAGATTTAAATTCTCTCAAATTATTTGTTTCTGCTGACTAAATCAATCAATAACAACCAATTAATATAGATAGTCTTAGACATGAATATGTTATATTTCTAATTGAAAATGTACCGTTGGATTTGCCTTTTTTTAGTATTTATTAAAATAAAATATAAATCTCGGGAATATTTAAAATAATTAATGACAATGACAATTGAAATGATAATAACCTCCATTGTTATCTCCGCGTCAGATGATAAAGAACATTCTTTTGATATTACATTTAATATTGATTCAAAAGTTTTTGGCTTTATTATAAAAAAAATGAGTTATTTTTTGGAGATGAATAAATAGTTGATTGATTGATCAATAACATACTAGGGCTAGACCTTGTATATTTTTAAATAGTATTGATAAATTTTAATTGAATAATCGTAAAAAAAATCAACAGTTAAAGAATTAAGAATAAAAATCATCAATTACTAGGTGTTCCTCCTATTTTAATTTAATTAATTAATTAATAATGATAATTAATAATTATAATAATAAAGCAACAAAATAATAATTTTATACCTCCAAAATAAATGCTATTTATTTTTCTTCCATATAAATCAAATTCTTTTATTGAATATTTCAATTCTTTAATTAAACAATCCTTGATTCTCTCATGATTTGGAAATTTATTTACATACTTGTTAAAATTACAATATACACATTTACTTAAAAAATTTTTTTAATAAGTAAAAATATCATATAAATCATAAAATCATAAATCATAAATCATAAATTAATCATTAGTCAAACCTTAAACAATAAGGCCAATGAATATAAATTAAGAGCTTCGATCTCATTATTTGATCAATGCCCTGATAAGGTTAATATTTATTATTAAATAATATGGGGGCATACTGACAAAGTGAGCAATTATAATACGTACCAAGAATTTCAGGGATCATCAATATTATTTTCTCATATTTTATTTTAAATAACATATAGAATTACTCCTATGTAAAAATAATTAATATGAAACTCATGTATGCCAAATTTACTATGGAACCCAAGTAAAGCTTCGAACCAGTCGAGCTCGAGTTTGACATCACATAAAAAATTTTTTTAAGTAACGAATGATTAATTCTAATACTTTTATGTTATTTATGCACATTACCTAAAAAACAATGTAAGAGTCTATTTTCTTGAACTCAGCTCGATCAAGTTTTAACTCGAGTCTGCTCAACTCAGAGAATAAAGCAAATAAAACGAATGATTCGAATAAACGAATAAAACAAATGGCTCGGATGATTCGAATAAAAAAACCCAAATAAAATGAATAATCCGAATAACGAATAAAACGGATAAAAAACAAAATAACCATTATTGACTATGATATAGAAACCTCTTGACTTAAAGACCAAAAAAGTTAACCAATTTTTTGATTAGCAAAATGTTGTTCCTAAAAGGCATGATAAATCTTGCTCCACGTTTTGGTTTCAATAAGATATTTATACAAAAAAAAAAAAACTTTTGGTTATTAATAATAAGCATAGATTATACTTGTAAAAACCAAGGTTTGTTTGTTATATTCACTCATTAATTCCGATGTATATAAGATCTAGATGATCACGTAGCAATATATTAATAGATAATAATAAATAATAATAATAATTCAAATTCATTGTATATTTACATACCTCACAACAAGAAATCCGCTGTGGCAAAATTGGTTATGATCGGCAAAAAATAAATACAGAGAAATAAATTACATGTGAAAATTAAAATTATTTTTAATTTTGACAGCATGTATGCTCCAATAAATTGCACGACATTGTAAAACTCTAGAGGATTTATCGACACTATAAGAATGAATTAGGCCAGGAATTAATTAAATAATGTTTTAAATTTTTTTAATATAGTAATAGATTGATTAGATTATGCAATAGGTTGTCACTTGACCAATCAAGTGACTTTTGAAAAACATAAATAATCGAGCCAAGAGTATTAAGTCAAAAAATTTAAGTCAATAAGTTTTACCTCATATTAACGTTAGTGATGATTCTTTTAATAATCTATGAATAATTGGAAAGTTTTAAACCTTTTACAATAAAATAATTTTTTTAATTATAATTTTTTTTTCCTTTTTTAAATCTATTGTAAATGTCCGTGCTCTTCTCACAATTGGGGAATAAATTGATAAATATGCTTTGTGATTTTCGTTATTGAGAATGTTGTACTACTGGTAGATTAATTTACTAAATTTGAACCCTGTAATTCCGTATGACACAAGAACATCCATTTTTTTTTCTACAGAATTTTCTTTTTTTTTAAAAAAAAAAAATAAAATCTTAAATTTTTTGAATTTTTTAATTCTTAAAATGTCTTGTATCGATGACCAATATTCAAAAAATCGCAACAAAAAAAATGGCCAATGTTTTAGTTGTAATCTTTTCAATACAAATCCTTCTTGGTGTCAAAAATGTGATCCACAAAAGTTGTTTGTAGGATGGAGTAGTGGCAATCAAGAAATTGATAAATTAATTCAAGAAACTCAATTGATGGCTGTGGCTTACAATGAAGGTTATTTAGAATGGATTCCTTATTATCATTTGAAGGATTTTGAAACAATTGGCAATGGTGATATCAAAATTAATAAAGCTGTTTGGACTACTGGTGAGAGAAGGATTATAAAAACATCAGACGGATATATTAGAGAACGTTCAAAACCAATTAATGTTGTTACTAAACTTTTAGCTAAAAATTATGAATATTTAACTCCAGAAATTTTTAAACATCTTAGAATTCATTACAGTTGTCAAATTAAAATTCCAGATTATATTATTCGGTTTTATGGATTAACACAAAATCCTGACACAAAAGAAGTATTTATGGTTATGAAATATGCATCTCATGGTGATTTGGGTACTTATCTAAAATCAAATTATAAGGACTTAAAATGGGCAGAAAAACTAGATATTTTATTAAATTTTTCTGAAGGATTATCATTAATTCATGAAAATGGTTGTATTCATCGTAATTTTCATAGTGGTAATATATTACAATCAAAGGAAGATAATAATAACCCCAAAATAAAAATTCTCATAACAGACTTTAGTTTGTCAATAAAGGTTAATGATACCCCACCAGAATCTATATTTGGTACTTTGCCATATGTCGCACCTGAAATATTATGCGGGAAAACATTTACTACTTCATCTGATGTTTATAGTTTAGGTATAATAATGACAGAATTGTCAAGTGGCAAAGCACCTTATGAGGATAGATTGTGTGATTCTGATTTGGCTTTAAGTATCGTTAGTACAGGATTAAGGCCTGTATTCCGAGAAGCTACTCCAGAAATTTTTATAAATTTGGCAATTGAATGTTTAAATCCTAGTCCTGAAAAAAGACCTACTGCTGAAACTATTGTATCAACAGTTAAAAAATGGAAAGCAGATTTAGATAGTAAAGAAGATTCAAGCATCAAGAAATCATTTTTAGATTCTGATAAGTTATTAAGAACTCACGATAATCAAATAATTGAAAATAAAACACCCAATTCAAGAAGTTTCTATAATAAATCACTTGAATTCAAAAACTTACCAGATCATTCTTCTTGCAAGCCACCAAGAACTCGCATTATAAGAAGTGGTAAAGTATAATTTTAAATTAATAAATTTGTTTTCTTACAAATAATTGAGATCATTTTATTGATATTTATTTTTTTTTTTTACATTTATATTAGACTCTAGACAAGTAGATTTGGTCATTCCAGAAGTTCTTGCTAACAATATCACTTCATAAACATTTATTATTTAAAATTTTTTATATCATGTTAACATTAACATTTGTATAGAACAGTCACATTCATATTTCACATAGTTGAAAAAAATTTTTTTTTTAATAAGCATAATATCAAACGTAAGCCAATCAAAAGTTATTTATAGTCTAAACATCACTCAGATAAATTTCACATTTGATTAGCACGCAATACATATAACAATGACTATTTATTCTTAACGATTTACATGTATTAAAATAAATTTTTTTTTACTGAATATATATAAAAATAATTATTAGTATATTTAATATTTCGATTTTCGTCGCGTAAATTCAAGTTACCCGTGATCTATGGTTCAAATAAATCCTTTTGGGAAACCACAAGGATAAAATGTTTTAATAAAAAGAAAAAAGTAAACCAATGGAAATGAAGCTTAGATCTTTAGCTTTAATTCTATCAGTTTACTTTTTTTACTTTTCCTTTTATAATCATGTGATAATAATTGACGTTATAGATGTCCTGCCTGCACTATATAAATAGTAGAAAGAATATTCTATTAGTACTTTGAGTATAGTGGCAATCATTTAAAGGCATCACAAAATATTGCCAATCTTTAAATGCTAGTAGGATGGCGTGTGGCTACCTTGGTATTCAACCTTCAAATGTTGATGATGAAAAGGCATTTTCTCAAGCTGGTTTTACAGTCACTAATTACAAAGAATAACTTCAGTAAAAAAACGATTTCTTGCACAATACTTATGCATTCATGGTTAAAGAAAGCAAGAAAAAACTTAGCCCTTTTAACGATATGCCGAAACAAAATAGTAATACTTTAATAAATTGTATTTCTTAACCAAAATATAGGTTCTATGCCGGACACCATTGGCACCATGATTCTGATGCCAGTGCCCACCCGAGTGCCCAGCTTTTTTTTTGGGCACCGGAAACTTTGGTTGCAAACGCCAACTTTATATCATACTGGAATAATTTAAAAAGCCTAAACATCCATTACATCACCATAATTCATGGATTTTTTTTTTTTATTATTTTCTAATGCTAATCAAAATTTTTTCACTTGGAATAATTTCGTATTATTGTTACGATCTTGAATTTCCATTGGACTAATACGACAGAAATTATTTCTCGCAAATATAAAAGAATCCAAAAAATAAAGCATGTAATTATTATTTCTTATTAATTCCATAATTCAATAAATTCTAAAAAAAAATTTTTTTTTGATTTTTGTAGACTGACAATATTATATATACAAATGTTTCGCTAATAGTGGAAAAACGAGAATTAAAGAAATCGAATAATTTATTACCATCATTTCTTTACATGAGAAAAAAATGGAAATTCATTGTGATTATCATTTTTAATTTCTCTTTAAAAAAAAAAAAATAAAAAATAATGGTAATATTTAAATATAATAAATTTCCGATAATACCAAAGTTTTATCGTAAAAAATCAATAGCTATCAATGAATTAATACCGAAAAATAAAAATAAAAATTACAACCACTTTAATTATCACTATTACACAACAATAGCTTCTACTAATAATAACAATAATAATAAAATTAATGAACAACTAAAAAAAAAATTAATTGATGAAATGATAAGAGTTGATCAAGCTGGAGAAATTGGGGCGAATTGGATTTATAAAGGTCAATTGGCAATTTTAGGAAAAGACAAAAAAGTTGGACCTATAATTCAGGTTTTCTATCATCGTCATCATCATGTTGTTATTGTTCTGGTGGTGGTGGTGGTGATAGTTAAAATTACAATCAACCAACCAAGTAACAAAAAATACTAAATATTATTATACAATAAATTTAAAAATAAAGGAAATGTGGGAGCAAGAAAAAGTTCATCTTCGTACATTTGACAAAATAATTGCTCATCATAGAGTAAGGCCAACTTTATTAAGACCTTTATGGGAATTATCAGGTTATGTATTAGGAGTTGGTACAGCTTTAATGGGTAAAGAAGCTGCGATGGCCTGTACTGAAGCAGTTGAAACTGTTATCGGAGAACATTATAATGAGTAAGTTGATTTTTTTTGTTGGAGAGAAAATACAAAATATTGATATTATTTTTATTATTTTATTTAGTCAATTAAGAGAACTAATAAAGATTGAAAATGATAAAGATATTGAAGAATTAAGAAGTGTAATTATATACAAAAATAATTAATTAATCAAATTAATAAATTGATATTAATAAATTATTAAATATGTGCTATGTTTTTATATAATAAAGACTATCAAGAAATTTCGTGATGATGAATTAAATCATTTGGATATAGCGGTGGATTATGATGCTCAAAAGGTTTGTTTTTAATAAATAAAGAAAAAAACCTATTTTCAAGATGTAAAGTTTTAAACAACTTTCTTGTTTTAGGCACCCTTCCATAGTATATTATCTACAATAATACATAATGGATGTAAAGCTGCTATTTGGATAACAACAAGAATTTGAAAACTTAAATTATAAAAAGAAATTTATTATTATTATAAAAAATTAAAATTAAAATTACAGAAGATTTGACGGCTTATCCAACAAATTTAATAATAACTATAATAATAAAAGTTGCCATTATCATGATTATCTATTTTCTCCAATGTTCTCATCATCACCTTTTTCACTATGAATATTATGATCATTGCTATTAACATTCCTATAATAACTTACTCTATCAACTGCTATTAAATATTCTTTTGTATCATTATTAGTAGTATCATGATAACCTAATGGACCTAAATCACAATCTGCACAACATAAATATTTTACACCAGTTTCATTTAATGTTTTAGAAAATCCAATATTTTCAAATGAAAACATATCTGACACTTTCCAATAAGATCCTTGTGTATTATTATCATCACTAATAGAAGATGATGATATATTTTTTAAAAAAGATTTATCTGATTGTTGTTGATTTGGTGTTTTTAGCTATTAATAATAAAACAGTTGAAAGAAGAATTAGATATAAGCTTGGAACTTATATTTATTTATATTTTTTTTCTTTTAAAAAATACTTTACTAAATCATTAGAACGTTCAACCCAAGTCGCTGAATTTGTTTTTAAAATTAAACTGGCACAGTTATCAATGTTTGGACAATAAATATCATATTCATTAGTGGCGATATCATCATTTTTATTGGATTTTAAATTTTGGTTTGGGTTTGATAAATCTTTATAAAGAAATTTCGACATTTTATTATTTTTATTCTAAAAAAAATTTTATTTACAGAAATTTTATTCGTTTTATCACATAGTGACAAAATCGAATGCCAATAAGAAAAAAATAGGGCGCAAAAACCATTTTATCTAAAAATACATATGCATTGATATATTGCTTTATTTCTTGATCCATCAGGTCCATTATGTATTGAAGAGTTAGTTATATTATAGTGAAATTTAAAAAGTTTAGAGATCTACACAAGCAAATAACTAGAATGACGAATTGCGGATCAATAATCACCACCGTTTAAATTATAAGCTATTTTAATAAGATGCGTGTAACAACCTTCTAAGGTTGAAGATGAATTTTCAAGTTTTGTACAGCAGTCCTCGATACTATCGATGTATCTTACTAGTAAATTGTACGTTAAACGCTTCCAATTGTTTCAGTGTTTCAGAAAATGCTTGTAATAAAAGTGAGTGGCAAAATAAAGTAATTATCTTACAACTTAATACTTCATGAGTTGTTATCTATCTTGTAGCAATATAGAGCTTTAAACTCGGCCTGATACACATTTTTCCTTATGCTAATAGAAAGAAGATCACCTGTCTATGAGATTTCTTAAATTTGGTAACTATATTTGCTCTTGATCTGAAATTTAAGTCTATGGCTAAATTAACATTGAAACCTGAATCAGGTATCAAATAAACAATTTTTCAGGCCCTATTGTATTAACCACATTATTAATTACCAAAAAAGAAGGTAACCTATATTGTGTAGTATTTTTTATTATTATTATTATTATTATTATCGGTGAAGATCTATCTATATATACATAGTTCTTGGGGTCACGTATGACAAAAATAATGCTATTTCAAATTACTGACAATTGGAAAAATGTGGATTAAATAATTTATAATTTCTTTTTTAATAAAGTAATAAAATAAAGCAATATTTATAGAATATAATTGTTTGCTAACTCATTAACCAATTCTTCAATTTTTGATTTATGCTGATTTATCAGCTCGGTATTTCGTTTACTTTCCAGCATCAATCGTTCAGCTTCGGAATTTTTTAGCATCAAACTCTTGTCTTTTTGTCTACAGTCATTAACCAATTTTTCAATTTTTGTTTTATGTTGATTTATTAGCTCGGTATTTTGTTTATTTTCCAACATCAATCGCTCAGCTTCGGAATTTTTTAGCATCAAGTCCTTATCTTTTTGTCTGCAGTCATTAACCAATTCTTCAATTTTTGATTTATGCTGATTTATCAGCTCGGTATTTTGTTTACTTTCCGACATCAATCGTTCAACTTCGGAATTTTTTAGCATCAAGTTCTTATCTTTTTGTGTACAGTCATTAACCAATTCTTCAATTTTTGATTGTTTCTGTTTTATCAGCTCGATATATCGTTTATTTTCCAACATCAATCTTTCAACCTCAGAGTTTTTTAGCATCAAATTCTTGTCTTTCTGTCTACAGTCATCAACCAATTCTTCAATTTTCAATTTATGCTGATTTATCAGCTCGGTATTTCGTTTACTTTCCAACATCAGTCTTTCAACTTCGGATTTTTTTAGCATCAAACTCTTATCTTTTTGTCTGCAGTCATTAACCAATTCTTCAATTTTTGATTTATGCTGATTAATCAGTTCGGTATTTCGTTTGCTTTCCAGCATCAATCTTTCAACTTCGGATTTTTTTAGCATCAAACTCTTATCTTTTTGTCTGCAGTCATTAATCAATCCTTCAATTTTTGATTGTTTCTGCTTTATCAGCTCGGTATTTTGTTTACTTTCCGACATCAATAGTTCAATTTCGGATTTTTTTAGCGTAAAATTCTTATCTTTTTGTCTACAGTTATTAATCAATTCTTCAATTTTTGATTGTTTCTGATTTATCAACTCGGTATTCAGCCTATTTTCCAGAATCAATCTTTCAACTTCGGATTTTTTTAGCATTAAGTCCTTATCTTTTTGCCTACAGTCATTAATCAATTCTTCGATTTTTGATTGTTCCTGACTTATCAACTCGGTATTCTGTTTATTTTCTAACATCAATCGTTCAACCTCAGAATTTTTTAGCATCAAGTTCTTATCCTTTTGCGTGCAGTCATTAATCAATTCTTCAATTCTTAATTGTTTCTGATTTATTGACTCGGTGTTATCTGATATCAATTTTTCGATTTCAGATTTTAAGTTCTTATTCTTTTGTTCATAGTCATTAATCAACCCTTCAATTTTCAATTGTTTCTGCTTTATCATATCATTCATTTTCATATTTTCAGAAATCAAAGATTCAATTTTTAAATCTTTTTGCATTAAAATGTCATCCTTTTGCTTAATTTGGAGATTTAACGACTCGTGATCTAGTTGCATTTGTTCCATCTGTTTATCTTGAGAGATGATAGATCCAATATCAGAACATTTCAGTTGGATTTGTTGGATAAATTCATTTTTCTTCCTGATTTCTGATGATAAAGAATCGATTTCTAATTGATTTTGTCTTACAATTTCATTTTTTATTTCACATTCAGTTGTTAACGATTCATTTTCAAGTCGAAGTGTTTCAACAACCTTTTGTATTTCATAGAAGAGAGGAGGTGTAAGTATATATATATTAATAATATTTAAAATAAAATATGCCTAAATAATAATAATCACAAAATTAGGTTCTTGATTTTCATCATTAGGACTGCTAGTAGTTGGATGCTGCTGATTAGTTTTTGGAGATGGATTTACAATAGTCAAACTTATTTTAGCTGATTTGTATTTGTCGTTGATTAATTTTTGCATTTTCTCTTTAAACCGATTATATTCACTCTCGCATTTTCTTACTTCATGCTATTATTATTCATCATTAAATCATTTATATAAAAAAATACATAATAAAATTATATAATTTAGAATATTTAAAAATTAATATATATATATATATCAGATATAATATAGAAATGTTTTATACAGCAGCTTGAGTTTTGATGTATTGGTAATGTTGTTGGACTTTTTTTAATTCTTCTTTAGTCAATCGATTCTTTTCCATCTCTTTATTTAAAGAGTCATTCAAACATCTAAATATATTATTTAAATAATAAAATATTTAATTATTGTTATTATTGTATTATTGTTGTTATTATTATTATTATTATTAAATTCTTACAGAATATTTGATTTTAATGAATCAACTTCACGTTCGCTCAAATCAAGCTTTGCTTTTAAATTTTTCTGATGCAACATGCAACGAATGAATAAATTAATAATTAATGTGTATAAATAAAATACAAGTACATGTGTATTTTATACTAATTATTTACCATGCTAGTAGCTAACAATTCATTATCACTTTGTGATCTTCTATATTGATCAAGCATTTCTTCACGATATCCGTTATCTTTTTGTTGCTGGTTTAATAGCGAACCGACACAGTCCAAAATCGATACTATAGATTTTTCATCAACATTTTCAGAAATTTTTGGAAATGAAGGATATCCAAGCATTGCCAATTGTTGATTAACTCGTGATATCATATCTTGCAAACCAGTTCGATGATCATTTATTACGCTGCTGTTTGTAAGGAAGTCTTGATAACTAATTTTTCAAAAAAATATATATATAAAGGAAAAAAAATTTTTAGATTTCTTGGTTTTATACTCTTCTCACTTTAAATTGTAAGAAAGAAGTTACAATTTTCTCGGTGTGCGTTCCCTGTTTGGTGAGGTTGGCTTAAGAAAATCATCGGTATTGAGTTTTCTCTTCAAATTTTCCATTGTGTTATTATTTAAATAAAAAGAAAATTTCCAATAATACGCGTATGTCCGAATTAAACCAAATGATAAACATAAGTCATATGACACCTAAAAAAATCTGATGATCATCCAACTAATATATATAGGAAAGTTGGGAAAAATAATAACTAATACTAAGCTACTAAGCTCATTTCTATTGGATTATTTTATTATCATAGTAATATAAATTTTCTTTAAAAAATTCTTCAGTTTGGAAATTTAAAGAAATATAAAAATAAATATATTTATTACTTGAATCGTTGGAATTATTAAATTGTTACAATTAATTAATTGAAATGCTGTATATTAAATCTAAATTCATCATCTTTAACCTAAATATATATTTTTATAACTAAGGAATCCAAAATTTCATTATAACAGGCCGTGTTTTTGAAAGAAAAACAAATTACAAAAGTCAAGAAAAAATTTCTAAAGGTTTGTTGGTGGTAAAAGGCAATGAATTGATACAGAAATTGATGGATTTAAGGAAAATGATAATGAGAATCCATCTTTAAATTAGAGTTTGGCACCGCCTAAAGATTCTTTAACCAGTTAACGGTGCCCATCTATACTTTAAATATGGTTGATATAGAAGAAGATCAATTAAAAAATGAAAGAGATTGATTTGCTGGTGCAATGAGAAGATAAAGACCAATCTTTATTTTATAAAATTTCGAGCCATGACGCAGTCATTAGCATCTTTAGATGACATTAACCATGTTATTTCTAGACAAAGAATCGTGCATTTTGTTAATTATGCAAAATTATACATACCATACGTAACTTGGATTTTGATTAATATCCATGTAATATCTAATGTTTCAAGCTTTCCTATAGTTTGAATAATCAACTTATTTATTAGCGTAAGAAAGAAATCAGTTGGAATCGGTACTACGCTTTGTTATCCTTTTTTTGTTTAGAGTTTTTTTTTTTGAAAAAAACTGAGGTTTTACAAATTTCAACCTGTTGGAATAATGGCGTCTTCTCTCTTCATTGCAGAGCTCATAGGAGGGAGGAGCGGATATGAACAGCTAGTGAAAAATCGCCGTGGAATTTTTTGAGCAATAAATTTTTCAAAAAAAAAAATTGAAATCGATCGATCCACATGATTGATTTGACGAATAATTATTTTATTATATGTCAAAATCTATAATCAATTGATACGTAAATTTACGTACCCCGTAATAATTGCGTGAAAAGACTATGAACATGTATAATAACCACGTAATGACATCATAATAATATCTATAATCACATATTCGCATTGTCAAATGTCATCAAGATAATTCATTCATCACAAGGTTTAAAACATTCGATCGATTAATTAATGAATAAATCCTTAAAAAGTCATTTTCATATTTTTTTTTCCCCTGTTCTATTCTTTTAATTGCCATCAAATTACACAATCCCAAATACTATAATCAACTTTTTTCTATAAGATTATTTTTTGTATCATTGAGATTGATTTTTTTATAATTAATCCGCGGTTTTGATGAAAATTCATAAGATTAATATTGTAATTTTTGAAAGTTCGTATTCTTTCTTTTAGTGATTTCGGATGCTTGATTTTTTAAAAAATCCATCCAATTTTGATAAATGTTTCTTTCGGAAGATCAGACCAAAGAATCTTGCAACAACAACAACAACAAGCATAGACCCATCGGCAAAATATCAATGAATCAAATGGTGTTAATTATAACGTATATCAGGGCGTGGGAAAAAATAAATACAAAAAACTTTGTGATTTGAAAATATCAAAAAAATGCTCGGGTGCTGGATAACTTTAAAAAGATATCGATTAAAAGAAAGATGAAGAGAAATTCAACGAGAAGTAGCAATTTTATTTAATTCAACTCTGAAATAAATAAAACAAGTCATCTCTTGTTTTCCCAATTTCTTCAAAAATCTGTGCTAGTGCATGTTTTTTTGCCAAAATCGTTTACTTTAGCGGCAATAAAAATTTATTGGAAAAAATAAACAATAATTACAATAATAAAATTGAAATTAATCAAATTCCCGACATAACGTAAATAAATGAATGAATAAATGAATAGATAGATAATATGGAATCTCGAAAAAGCCATCTTTACGACTTATTATTATTCGGTTTTAGTACGATAAACTATTGGGGTGTCAGATGGAACAATACCAATATTTTCCAGTTCAAGTAACTTGTAATGTTCATCTTTCAACTTTTCAATAATTTCACCTTTGTATGTTATCTGTAAAGCTTTTAATTCTTTTACCCCTTCTCCGCCTGATAATAATTGATCAATAAATTCAGCTGTTCGTTCAAAGGCTATCTTTCTTGAGGTACTGTCGCCTGTAAAAAACTATTTTGAAAGTATCATCATCATCACTATTATTATTACTTATTATTTTGCGCAATTAATGCTAATTTTTAAATTTAAACTTTATGAAATTACCTGGAAGACGTGAGGCATTTCTTGATAAACTTCAAGAACAACTTTTGTAGGTGTTTTATAAGGCGAATTTTTAAATTTTTCAGCATTGTAATGGGGCAAATTATATTTTTCTGGATTAGCAGCTTTATAAGCAAAATAGATATCCTCATCTCTTAATATTTCTCCATCGCCTGTTTGCTATACAACAAAAAATTATTTGTTATCTCTGCAAGATTTATCACGTAAAAGTTCAAAAAAAAAAGATATTTACCACTAATATTGGTGGCAAACCACCTAAACTTTCAGCATACAATGGAGAAACGTACGGAATTGCTATTCCTTCATTAGACACATAAAATTGCATACGACCATCACCACGTTCAAATGATTTATGCCAAAATTTTGGTTTATTGTCAACATTTAATTGGATTTTTTCTGATAATTCTTTTGCCTTTTGTTCAAATTCTTCCCACCACGGAGGAGATATTGTTTTATGAATAGTATCAGTTGACAGTATATCTGTTTCATTAAGTCTTGGATCTTTTATTGATGGCATCGTGTGAGCTAAATCAACCCATGGTGACCACACAACAGCTCCAGCTGGAATAGGCAATGAGTTTTTTGAGTCACGTATAGCAAGTAATGTTGCAATTGTTAGACCACCACCTGCACTATCACCCATAATTATAATATTTTTAGGTTCAATTGGTAGAAAATCCGCATCTTTTGGTGGATCAATAAGATACTTGTAGGCAGTTATGGAATCATGTAAAGCGGCAGGAAATTGACTTTGTGGTGCAAGTCTATAATTTGGTACTTTGTTTTTTTTTGAAGAAAATAAAATTATGCGTTTTTTGTTAGTCAACCAAACCTTTTTTTTTTTGTCAAATCAAATTTCATTTTCGTAATTTATAATCAATTACCAAATAGTCTTGCATTTGTAGATTTTGCAACTTTAGAAGTATAACTTCGATAAGCACCGGGTGATGCGAAAATATATCCACCACCATGCAAGTACAAAATAACCTTATCATATTTTTTCTTGTCGCCATTTTTTTCTTCTTTTTTAACGTAAACCCATTCACATTCCAACCCATCTCCAAGATTAGCACTTCCCCAATCATCAAAAAGTACATGATTATAATCTTTCAAAATCTCATCAATGTAAACTTCCGATTTTTTACGAAGTGAATTCGACAATGACAGCTCATCTACATGTACACCATCACCGACAGCACTATTGACCGTAAGCGTTGCTTGAATATCTTCGAAAGGTTTACCAAACATATCTTTTACAATGTTGACCGTCGAATGATATTCTAAGTCCCATGATGGTTGTGGTGGTCTGAAATCCGACATTTTTATTTTTTTACAAGAATTAAGGTTTTTTTTTAATTTTTATTATTATTATTTTTATTATTTATATGAATAAATATAACGTTTAAATTTTTTTTTTTTAAAAAAAAAATTTTATTTCATAAAATAATAAATTCCATGTATTTATTTATTTTTGCTCTTTGATTTTGTTGTATGTGAAATTGAAAATATTATGGAGTGGAGTGAAATTCTGATTGCTAATTTGAATTTCACACATGTAAATTTGAATTACGCATATGTGAATTGCGAATTCACATAATTTCATTTTCACGTACAACAATTTTAAAATATTAATTCAATATTACTAATTATGGGTTGACAATAGAAACAGAGAGAAACAAGGCGTGTGTTTCTATTATCCACCACTTTATGTGAATCGTGAAACTTGAATTCAAAAACTTTAATTTTTTCAAGTCTTTGGCCAATCAATCAATTTTGCAAAGCCAAGCTACTCCGAAAGCCTTTGCATTCTGTTGTCCCCAAAATATTATATAGTCTAAAAATAGTTAGCCAATTTTGTCATAGAGGTTGGAACCGGTTTGATTTAAAACCGGTTGAAACCGGTTGCAATATAAAACCGGTTTTTATCATTCATACAATCACTGCTAAATCATTTATCAAATTCTCTGTCGCCATTTTTTCAAACAAAATACTAATATGTATATATGATGTATATTTTTTGAATTATATATATTATTGTATATATAATTTATATATGAATGTATATTGTGAGATCGTATCCAAGCTTCAATGATGATAATTTATTTATTTGATGTTTATGCTAATACAATAATACAATTTCTTCCAATTTATATATACTAAATTGTAATAACAATTTCCGCGAATATACTGTATATTTATGTTTTACTCTCAAACTATCTTTCACCATCATTAGATGATTCCTTGCTAAGCAATACTAAACAATCTACTTAGATTTCACACTATGTCCTGATCACGTTTCTTGGTGGATGCCCTTTCGCGCTGTTACTCCCTACTCAAGTCAGGTACATTTCCCAAACTTCACTAAATAAAATTTACCTACTAAAAGAAAAGAAAAGAAATAAATAATAATAATAATAACAGAGACAATTATAAAATAAGAGAGAATTAATTACTGAATTATGCACGGGATATTAGTACGAAAATATAAAATCGAAGACCAGGACAAGATTAAGGTTAAGAATAGTTGGTTATTTATTA